TGAATAATAGATGGCATCGATGCCTTTCCCCTCCTCCCTTGGGGGCTTTATGGTCCCCCCCCAGCCATATCCAGGAGGTCCAAGGAGCCCCCGCGTGAAATCGGATCCAGCTGCAGAAAGAGGATCTGGCTTACGCCCACGGACACAGATGGGGGATACCCGGGGGAGCGCTGGGGCTCGCTCTGCGCTCTCGGCGGTGGAAAACAACGGGGCCACCTGCACGTGATTCCGTGGTGCTGGTTCTCCAGCCTCTTCCTGCTCAAAAATCCTCCAGCCACCCCCCCACCCCCAGATTTGAAGGTAGAATTGAACCTGGCCACTGCTTCATTTGGGCATTGGCCATCTGCAGGGAGAGGGCAGGGGGTGGTGGCCCTCCGTATCTTCCTGCAGCTTCTTGGGAGGCCGTGTCATGGCAGGACTCAGCGGGGACAGACCCCAGAGCATTTTCGTAGGGTGCTGGGGGGACACAACCCCCCCAACTCACACCCACAGCACCCAAACTCAACCTATTTCCTAGAAATGTAGGAGCTTTTGAAGGACTTCTCTTCCACGGGATGGTCTGGCTTGCCCTTACATTTCTGTAGATGTTTTTCATCCCAGCAGAGGGATTTTGGGAGGTCTGTTCCCCTCTGAGAGAGCTGGACCCCCATTTGTGGTTGGACCCAGCTCCCAGCAGCTCACAGGAGGAGACACAGCATGGAGTAAACCTCGAGCAAACCTTCTGCCACGTCCTCCTGGCTCCAGCAACTTCTTCCCTGCATGAAAAGTTCCAACGTTGGGATGCAAGAGGTGCAGCATCCCCTTTCCCAAGAGTTTACCAAGAGAGAAGCGTTTCACTGGCACGTGGCTCCCAGGAAAATGAGAGCAGAGCAGGAGAAGCTGAGATGAATCAGGCCCCCAAATTTATTCTTCTGTAAAATAAATTCCTCCACCCAGGGGAGTTCAGGGCAAGGCAGCTGGTTTTGACTTAACAGCTCAGTGTCTCCCATGGTGGGACAGTGCCCCACATGAGGGTTGCCATGGCAGGACCCCCAAGCTGGGCTTGTGTGTGTTTGTGCCCCCCCCCCC